ACGATTCTAACTCTAGATCAAAAAAGCTAGCCAAAATGATTTATGCCGAATTATTTGGATTATCCAAGAAAGTAGTCAATGTTGCAATTAAAGCTAATGCATCTAAAGAATTATCGAGTGTTTTGAAAAATTTTATTCATGAAATATAAGACAGATTAGATGACTAGCAACAAGATGAAAATGATATTGATGTTATTAATCCTTCTATTACAAAACATAAAGAGTGTCCTCCAAAAAGACTTGAATCTGCAGTTAAGCTTCAGAAAAAGCATCCATTGAGAAATAATACACAACTTAATGTAGATAATAACAATCTTAATAAAAATAAAATAGGTCGTAAATGTAGTAAATGTGGTCAAATAGGTCATTATGCTAAAACTTGTAAAGAATAAATTGACTCTGAGTCCATTCTGCCCTGAATTACATACTTTTCAATGTCTGATAACATATCAGGAGTCAACTTGCGATATCGTGTAGCAATCTCATTAACCATAGAGGTAAGTGGATGGTTGTGAACATTACAAAAAGAATTGATTTTTACTCTCGCTATTGTCTTCGGATATGTAACACATAATTTCTAAGAACATTTAGTCCTTTGAGACTTAGCATTACGATGCTTAGTAGGATCAACTGTCACGTTTGGACTGTGAGTGCCGGCTTTGGTATACACATAGGTTGCCCTTCAAATTATGCCTTTATCATCTGCTTCACTCGTCCTAATTTTATAGTCAAACCCTTTCTGCAGTGCAAAACGATTAAGCCAAGCTTTAAAAAAGTCCCAGCATGAAAATAAAATACCAACTACCAATTCCAAATGCAATTCATCATCTGTTCCATTGTTATCTAATTCGTCTTCATCTACTGAGTTGCATGATTGAGTAGCCATATAATTATTATCATCTGAGCGTACAGAATTGTTATAATAATTGGATATATTATGGTAATCATCTTCTGAGGGTACAGAATTGTTGTATGTATCAGAATAATCAAGAGGAATAGTCGTCTCAGATTCAAAGTAAACAGTGTTATTTAAATCAAGTTCATTAGAGTTAAGTAGATTATCGTTAATCATTTCAGCTGATTCCTTATTTGTAAAATCCTACATTTATAAAAATTTTACTAAATATTATGCTTAGAGAATGGTATTCATAAAAGACGATCAAATAGTTATATTACCATTATTGACGAAAGGTATGTTTAGTATTAGTCAGTAATATTATATCCCTTGTAAAATTATAAAAGAATTGAAAGAATTAGCGTAACTATTATAAAGCTCAAACTTAAATACCAAAATAAACACTTACGAAGTAAAATAAGAAGGTATGATACCATAATACAAACATACAGAAGTCAAGTTATTTCATATAACCTTCATAACCTGTTTCAAAATAATCTTAAGTATATTACTAAAACAAATTAAATAAACAATATCGTAAATATGATATGTATAGATACCGTAATTCAAATTAGAACAGATGTATGGAAAACCAAGAGATTTGTTATAATCTTCAACCAAACTCGAACCCTAACCCAAAAAAAAAGATTTTAATGCTAGCACTAACACAAAATTCAATATTAAAACAATTAATGTGGAATACTCACAAACAAGCGATTATTAGTAACGAATCAAAGCAATGTGACCGAAAGTCGAAAGTTTAAAAAAAGCACCCCAGCACGAACTTTAAACCAGAAAACTTTTAGCATTCACAGCAACCCTAATCTTTACAATGATATAAAATACATACTTTGAAAGTATTGCGCAAGCACAAGCCAAAGATATGTGCTAAAAGTCTTGTTTAGTGCCTTAGGGAGAATAAAAAAAAGAGTGTATAAAAAAAAGACACTAATGCTAATGCAGTAGTGGTCAATTGATGCATATCATGTACACATGTTATTAGTGTATATGATATGGGTTTTATACACCCAGTATATAATTAGAAATATTCTTTTATTAAATTTGTAACAAAACTTTGTTAAAATTTTACAAGTTAATAAATAAATTTTAAAAATAAATAAAAAATAAAAAAAAAATATAAATAAATATAAAAAATTTACTATATGCGGTTGTGATTATTTGTTTAGAAAAAAATAATTAATATTTAAACTTTTTAAAAAATAATTTCATACCTTAAAATTTAGATTATTTTAGTTAATTTTATCAAATTTAATATATAAATCTTCATTATTTTCTTCATATTCAATATCTAATTTTATATTTTCAATATAATCATAATTATCAATTTCATTAATTTTTTGTTTTTTAGCTAATAAATCTACTTTATAATTTTGTTGATATTGTTGTTCAATTTTATCAAATTCAGTATTGTTTTTATCAAAATTTTTTCATTTTTCTAGAATTTTATTTTTCTTTTTTGTTGTTTTATACAATCTGAATCATCAAAATTATATTCTGAAATATCTGAATTATAATTTTTTTGAGATTCTTGTTTTAAATTATTTTGTATATCTTCTTTTTGTCGATTTTTTTTTATTTCTAAATTTAAAATATTATTTTTTATTTGATTTTCATTTTCTTTTAATAGATTTTCTAAAATATTTTTTTTCAATTATAGTATTTGTTCTAGAAGATTCTATTTGAGGATTATTTTTTTAGATTATTTTTTTTATTATCACTTGATAAAACTATAATTCGATTTCTGGGATTTGATTTTGGAATATTAATTATAACTCTATTAGTTATATTATCAATATTTTCAATAATAGAATATTTATTTATTTTATTCTTCCAATTTTGTCTCCAATAAAAAAAATTTGTTGCAGTGTCTTGAAAAATTTGTCTTTTAATTCCTAAATCTATTGTAATTTTTTCAACTTGTTTTAAAGTTGTATCTTTATTAAATTTGATATCAAATATTCTATTATTAAAATCTTCTTTATTCCTCTTTTTAAAGATATGTATAACATCTCCTTTTCCAATTTTTGAATCAATAGGATTTCTTTCAAATTTAATAATAAATCTAACTCTTCTAACAAAAGCATTAATATCAATTGATGAATTATTTTTTTGTAATTTGGTGTATAGATTTTCAATTGGTCTATTTGCTGTTATACAAATATACATAGCTACAATTTTTGTTTTTTCATATTTAACATCTATCATACAATGATTTTGATCTGTTAATCTTAAAAAATTTGTCCAACTAATATTTGATCCATAAAAATCATCTAATAAAATTGCAGTATCCCGATAATAATTATATTCATCAGTATTATAATTTTCAAATTGTTTTATATCATCTTTTTCATAAATTTCAGAAAATAATTTTTTATATAAATCACTTTTGCCAGTTCCTGTATCTCCATAGATATAGATAATACAAGGTTCCCAAAAATGATCTATTTTTTTTAATAGATTTACTGTTTATTTCTTTATTGCTTTTGCGATTTCACATAATCCTTGTGGGCTTTAAGACTATTTTCTATAATAAGGTGTATATTTAACAATTACTTTATCAACATCTTCTCCATTTAATACTTCTTTAATAACTTCTTCATAAACACTTTCTTCATTAATATCTTCTTTTTTATTGTCAAAATTTGAGTTATCAAATATAAATATAAATGATCCTGAATTTTCTAGATCAGTACAATGTGCAAAAGTTCGATATTGCCAACAATCTAAATTACAAAGCTTACAATTTGAATAATCATAACGATCAAACAAATTACATTTACAACATTTTCCTTTAATTGGTTGATGATGTAGAGAATATCGATTCCAATTTTTAGCTGTATATGCTAAACATTCTTCATCAGTTCCATTAGTAAATTCAATATGAATATTTGCTTTAAATATACCTTTAATACCTGTTTATTTACTTTTTTCAGAGTTATATGAATCTAATTTCACTTGTGTATTTTTTTGAAATCTTGCAAATCTATGAATATAATTTTTTTTTAATTCTTTTGAATTATAATTTACTTCAAACTGAAATTGTAATTTTTCAAATTTACAAGTTTTTGTATTAAAAATATTACTAACAAGATATAAAAAGTATCAAGATGTTCATATAATGTAAAATTAAACTTTCTAAATTTAGTTTTAGATGTTATTTTTTTAGACATTTTTAAATTACATAATAAAATGTCTACTAAGGTACTATTAGAAATATTTAGTAGAAAAAAAATCATCAATTTACTTAAAATCTTATTAATAAAATTAATATAAAACTCTTAACAAAAGTTGTAGATTGAACCAAAAATATACTAGTTTCATAAGACCAGTTTTATTGTTTACATAGTAAAATTTTTCTTTACAGTTAAAAAACATATCAAAATGTATAGAAAAAAGATCTGCAAAGAACATATTTAAAGTTAAAAATTAATGAAAATCCCGAATATAGAAGTGAGAAATAAAATTGATATAACTCGATGAATATTTATTTATTTGAGCTGGAATTTTAACTACAAATAGTTAAATACCTACCCTACAATCGGTATTATTGAATATTCATATGTTTCATTTCACCAAAGTATTCAGAATTATATTTTTCTACAAGAGAAGAATTTACGAAAACGTAGGTATTTCTATTTACAAAAATGTCAATATCTCGATGAGTTTTTTGAGTTTTTCTGTAAAATTTTAGATTCTATTAGTTAAAGATACAAGCTAAAAGTCATATTAATGAAAGTTCTTAGGTTAGTATAATACAGTTTTGTGTAAACGATTAATGAAGTGTAGGTTATCTTTATAAAATTAATGAAAATCCCGAATCTAGAAATAGGAAGTAAAATTGCTATAACTCGATTAATATTTATCTATTTGAGCTAGAGTTTTAGCTACAAATAGTTGAATACCTACCCTACAATCGGTATTATTGAATATTCATATGTTTCATTTTACCAAAGTATTCAGAATTACATTTTTCTACAAGAGAAGAATTTACGAAAACGTAGGTATTCTTATTTACAAAAATGTCAATATCTCGATGATTTTTTTGAGTTTTTCTGTAAAATTTTAGATTATATTAGTTAAAGATACAAGCTAAAAGTTATATTAATGAAAGTTCTTAGGTTAGTATAGTACAGTTTTGTGTAAACGATTAATGAAGTGTGGGTTATCTTTAAAACATATAGGCGAAAAAACTGGATATCTATTTTTTTTTAGAACTTTTTTAGAAAGCTCCTATTATAGCTTTCGGGTTGAGTGTTTTAAAAAAAAGACTCAAGAAAAAAATTGCCTATTTATATTTTTTTTAACCAATAAAATTCTTTGAGTCGATATTAAATTTATTATGTGTGAGTCATTTGCAGATCGCTCAAGAAATTTAATAATAAAAACATAGTGTTGAGTTGTGAGTCACTATTACAATACTTTTATTATACTTTTCTTATTTGACGTTTGACAACTGTGGGGGGTAGACAGTCAATTCATTGACTCTCATCATGTGATTTAGATGTAATTATTTTTAGGGAAATCGGGCTTTGGGTTAGAGAACAGGATTATGACATAAGACAAATTTTATTCACATCTTTGATTGAATTAGCGCCAGAAGAAATGATTATTCAAGTTTGGCATGTTCATGCTACTG